TGACAAACAGATGCTAGGGACACCATTCCTGCCCATCCTGCCTGGCTAATAGCCCTCGATGGACTATCCTTCATGAATATATCTAGTTCTCTTTTGAATCCTGTTAAAGTCCTGATCTTCACAACATCCTCTGGCAAGGAGTTCCACAGACTGACTGTGCATTGTGTGAAGAAATACTGCTTCCTTTTGTTTGTTTTAAACCTGTTACCTATTGATTTCATTTGGTGCCCCTTAGTTCTTGTGTTATGGGATGAAGTAAATAACTTTTCCTTATTTACTTTCTCCATACCAGTCATGATTTTATAATCCTCTATCATATCCCCCCTCTTAGTTGCCTATTTTCTAAGATGAAAAGTCCTATATGGTAGCCATTCCATACCTGTGCTCATTTTTGTTGTCCTTTTCTTAACTTTTTCCAATTCCAATGTATCTTTTTTTTAGATGAGGCAACATAATATTCAAGATGTAGGAATACCATGGGTTTATAAATAGTCAATAAGATATTCTGTCTTATTCTCTATCCTTTTTAAAAAGATTCCTAACATTGTTTGCTTTTTTGACTGCTGCTGCACATTGAGTAGATGTTTTCAGAGATCTATCCCCAGTAACTCCAAGATCTCTTTCTTGAGTGGTAACAGTTAAATTAGTCCCCGTCATTTTATACATATAGTTGGGATTATGTTTTACTTGGCATGTATCAACATCAAAATACATCTGCCATGTTGTTGCTCAGTCACCTAGTTTTGTGAAATCCTTTTGAAGCTCTTCACAATCTGTTTTTGGATTTAACTATATTGATCAGTTTGGTATCATCTACAAATTTTGCCACCTCCCTGTTTACCCCTCCCTCCAGACAGTTCATGAATATGTTGAATAGGATAAGTCCCAGAACAGACTCCTGCAGGACACCATTAGTTACCTCTCTCCATTCTGAAAACTGATCACTTATTCCTACCGTGTGTTTTTTATCTTTTAACCTGTTATCAGTCCACAAGAGGACCTTCCCTCTTATCCCATGACAGCTGATTTTGCTTAAGGGCCTTTGGTGAGGGACCTTGTCAACGGTTTTCTGGAAATCTAAGTACACTAAATCCATTGGATTCCCCCTTTTCCACATGCTTGTTGACCCCCTTAAAGAATTATAGTATATTGATGAAGCATGATTTCCCTTTACAGAAACCATGATGACTTTTCCCCAACAAATTATGTTCATGTATGTGTTTGACAATTCTATTATTTACTATAGTTTCAACCAATTTGCCTGGTGCGGACGTTAAACTTACCAGCCTGTAATTGTCAGGATCACCTCTGGAGCCCTCTTTAAAAATTGGTGTCACATTAGCTATCTTCCAGTCATTTGGTCAGAAGATGATTTAAAAGACAAGTTAAAAACCACAGTTAGTGGTTCTGCAATTTCACATTTGAGTTCTTTCAGAATTCTTGGATGAATGCCATCTGGCATTACCTTGTTATCCAGTTTAAGGGAGCATATTCAGCAAAAAGTTCCCCAACTCTTTCTGAAGGTTGGCTACTCTTATGCATTGAACTTAGTAAATTCTAGATTTTCCTTCAGTTATACAACTGCTGTTTTGTTCTTCTACATCAGTTGAAAGTTGATTCTACTTAGTCTACTCTCTTTGTAAAATAAGCTCTCCTTCTATCTCTTACATGTGTTCCCTTAGTTTAACCCACAACCTTAGCTGTGATCTATTGAACACCCTCAACTAGATCTTCAAATTCGGTTTTAATACAACACTTGATAATAACTTCAGTCACTGAATCCTGGAATCATTGTCAGGACTAAATCCCATTTTTCACATTCAAGACCCCATTTCTCAAAAATCAGCTGCAGAACACTAAATAGGTAGAATCAACCACCAGTACCCACTCAATTAAGGACATGGGTTAACAGAAAAGGTAAAACATCCTCTTCTAGCAGTCACTGATGACTTCTAAATGTACCTTTAGGGATCACAGGAATACTTTAACATTTTGTTACATTTTCCTCCCCCATGCTATTTATCATTTTGATACCCCATACTGACCTTTCATCAGTAACATGATGTAGATTGGACACTGCTCTAAATGTGTAGGTTGTGCACTTTATGAAGTGATAGTACAACATTCATGGATGTCTATAATGTATTGCTGGTATAAGATTTTGAATCTTGTCAGTACTACTGCACATGAGTCAGGTATTATGCTGCTATTCCAGTCTTGGAGATGCCGGTCCCTATCTACAGCATCTCCTGCTACTATATTCTGGGTCCGTAAGGCCCAGCAAATCTCAAACTCAAGCCACAGAGTTGCCAGATAGCAAACACTACCATGTTGCCTCCCAGCAGCAGATATAACCAGTCTGTGCTCCACAACCCATGACCTGCTGTGGGCACACTCCATGGGAAATCCTGTCTCAAGGGGCTCGTCTACACTGGCCCCTTTTCCGGAAGGGGCATGTTAATTTCAGCTATCGTAGTAGGGAAATCCGCGGGGGATTTAAATATCCCCCGCGGCATTTAAATAAAAATGTCCGCCGCTTTTTTCCGGCTTTTAGAAAAGCCGGAAAAGAGCGTCTACACTGGCCCCGATCCTCCGGAAAAAGCGCCCTTTTCCGGAGGCTCTTATTCCTACTTTGAAGTAGGAATACAAGCTCCTCTGCAACGCTTTACCTCAGGTTTGACCCTGTTCTGACCTGTGGTCCTGACTGCTCTTGTCATGATCCTGAAATGGGCCTATCCTGTAGCAGGGGCCTGATTTTATAATGAATTTGGTATTGATTTCCACTGCTAACTAGTTTTAACACTTGGGCATATTTGACTCCCTGCTAGAACAGATCGTGTGTCTGAGCTTTGCCCAGCTGAGGAACCCATACGTAACCAATCACGAGTCTGATAGCTACCCTAATTGGCATAACAGAACATATGATACATATTACATCTGGTCTCATCTTTTAGATAAAGGTGTGGTCTATGAAGACTACCAATGACAGCAAACAATGTTTCATCTTCATCCAAATGAGTCAATTTCACTTCCATGGGCAACATACTTAGGCATATTTAGGCTGAAGAAGCAATACCTCCTGGGACTTGTAGCTCTTCCATATTAAAATTAAAGGTGCCCATAAGTTGCACTGCAGAACACCATGGCACCCCTGACACTGGTCTAGCTCCTATTTTATAACAGATTCATTGAAATTTCATGCCACAGCTTTACATCTGTGCCAGCTGGGAAAATAAAGACACAGAAATGAAAAGAACAAAACAATTGAAAGAAGTTATTTATTACAAAATTAAAATCCTGATTTTCTGTAAATTCCTTTACAAAATGCATTTTTAGTTCAAGGGAGTTCTCTTCATCCATTTAATACACTGTGATTAGAATACCACACTGCTCTGCAATTGAACAGAAGTAGGAGACAACAATCAAATAATACACGTATAAAGACACATATAAAACAACCAAAATCCATTAATATTAGCAGCATTAGTAAGGTTCATAATGAAGAAGGACAAGGTTACAAAAGAAGGCCCATCATCATTTTACCTTCAAACATATGCTCAGTTCTGGGTAAATTTTCCAAGACAGAGCCTAGACCACTCCCTTAATATGACAGGCTAATCCTGCCTGCCTAATTTTTAGGAGTCTAAATAAATAAAATAGCTCAACAGCATCTTCGGTATGAACATCCCCACTAAACTCTCTTCCTAATAGTGTGTGCAATAGTCAGTAGCCCTTGATCCCCAAACACAGAATATGAAGCATATTTCTGAAATAAAGTAACACAGGGACAGCCCGTCAGCCTGGGTTAGTGCCATGGAAACAGATCCAATTTGGTTCTGGTCTTGCTTTGCAAAGCTTCTTTAAGGGGCTGAGCATACTGTGTAGCTAATAATACTATTTCCTAACTTTTTACCACTCAGGGAGAAAGGGCTATATGAAACTCCAACACGGCTCAGAACCTCCCTGCCATGATATACCCCTGGCCAGTTAGAAGGGGTCATTTGCTTTGAAGGAAAAAGTCCCATCCAGGTGCTCCAGCTGATGATGATACCAGGTCATCACGAAAGAATGCTCAGGGTCTAGTAGGGTTACAAGAGGAGAAAAGAAGGGGTATTCTAGTGGTGAATAGCACATAGCTCATATACACATTGCTGGTTACTAAATCCATAGACCAAATCACATGGAATGACCCTTGGAAGAGAATCTAACAGGTCTGCCAACATTTGATAGCTATGAATAGTAGCATTTTGGAAGAAAAAATATATAGGTACACCTTTCATCTCCACTGAAACACACTGGATGAAATTCTCAGAGGCACAAACAAGAGAGACAGTCCATTCTAAGTGGGAACAATTGGCAGGAATCACATCTTTTCAATTCTTTCTGCTGATAGAGTTAAGTAGTAAGTTATTGCTTTCCATTACAAGGCCTTTGCCATGAGTGCATGACGACAGCTAATTTTGTTCCTTGAGGACATGGCAGCTCAGCCCAGCTCTGGCCCAGGCTCTTTTGGAAATGGAATGAACATCCAAAAGGCTCAGTGATTAGTGGATCAGCCTAGAAAAGAGGACAGGACTTTGGGAGAGGAAAGGGCAGAAGAGAATTTAAAAAGCTAGATCATATATTGTTCTTTGTGTCAGTATAACAAATTCATTCAATTATGACTTCAGAAAGAATTCTCTGCAGACCAGACTGATGCTGGCTTTCCTGCTAGGAAGTCTGTGGATAATGCTACCATGGGTGCATCACACAGTGATGATGAGCTATGGATGTGTTTATTTGTGGGTCTTCTATGGCTGCCCCAGCAAAGGCACTTTCAGGACCACAGTTCTGTCCCATAGACATAAGCTCCTAACTTTGTGGAATTAAATTCAGTCACTGCTGAAGGAAAGGGCACGTATGCCCCTGCAGAGATTACCAATAGA